TGCACCCTGTCAACAGCACATTATTCATGCCAGCCTCGCCCGATGGTGCTGCTCGATTACTCAAGGGTTAATTTGTCATTCACAATTCAAACCTCCCACGGTTTGATCTTGGCATAACTACATATTTCCTGTACCAGACTGTGAATACCTTGTTCTGCAACTCGCAAATAACTTGTTCTTGAGAGTCAGAGGTTTTTTTCTCTTTTTCTTCCGCTCATAACTACTCAGTGGGGGATACAATGATTCTCTGAGATACTGTGTATGATGGTACAGGATTGAAAGGTTATACACTAGTGGTGGTACATCACCAAAAAGGCAAGTGAGAGAGAGGCAGTTGGACTTCTTTCAATCAAGATGGATCACTGTAAGACTGGGACCAGGTTTATTTCACCAGTTCCCCAGGTTATTTTCCACATTCACCCACTAGAAGGGGCACAACCGGGTGAACTTCAAGCGGGTTAATTTTGCCCAGAGCAGGCGGGTGAATGTCCTAACCCGCTAAATGGGCCAGTTTTGCATGGTCCAGCTCACCCAGATTTGTAACCCGTTTTGTGGATGACCTGGGCGGGTTACTTTCACCCAGGAAAGTGATCAAACTAACCTGCTTCTTTGGGAAATTCTGGGAGCTGACAGGCAAGCGATGGCACACAATGCAAATGGGTAGTTGTGCTGAAGTCCAAGCCAAAGAGTATTCAGGTTCAAATGCCATTTGAAGGGCCTTTGCAACGACGACAAACGTACTACTACAGGTTCTGACTCCGATGATCAGACAGTCCATGCACGATCAACGAATGGCGCAATTGCACGTGGGTGTTTGTTGATCCCCAGCTTCTTTTCTCTTCCCGCCATGCCCACCTCCAGAATCCCTCGCGCTCATACTCCAGGACACTCGACCCAGCTCTGAAGACCAACACCACTGTCAGCAACAGCCCTAGGTCGGCCTGACGAGATGTCAATATGGAAATAACCCGGCCGGGACCTTTGAACGAATAACCTGACTAGAACCCGGGGTGAACGCTGAGGAGGGGATATAGTTGAATAGCCACTGAAAGGGGCAAAGTACGACGTATGTCCGCTCGAGGGGGAACCTGGAAAGACCCAAAGGCGGTATAGTACGCGCCCAGATAACCCGCACGTGGGGTCACCGATGAGAGGAGGAACAATAGTATACTGAGAGTCAAAGCCCGGAGTGAGAAGAGGCTTCGTTGTTGCCAGGCCAAAGTATAGCTGGTATTAGACGAGGTAGAATCTAAAGTACAAGAAGATTCCACCTAGTATATATACTACTCCGATAATTAGGTATCCAGGGTTTCGTCTGAAATACCAATCGGCGTTGACGAGACAACGTATGGCGCACAGGGGGTGTGATCGAATATGTCTCCAAGCTGTATTGGCTTTTAGGGCTTGACACATGTCGGTGTCCGATCGTCGATCCATGAGTATCCCGAGTGTTGCTCCAGAGTTCGGTTGTCAAATGACAATGGGTATCATCGTCGTTTCAGAATATCCCGTGGTTTGGTCGTCGCGTGGATCTAGGAGTATTCCGGAATGTTCCTTTGGAGTTTGGTCGTCACATGGAAAATAAGGTCGTAGGGAAAGAAATGAACGGGTTGTGAAAACCGTGATTCATGACAGCCGCCACGAAGATACAAGAATCTGCTCCCAGTTTCGCCACTCAAGCGGCTGTTTGCCCCCTGACATCCTTCAAACATTGTTACTGCCTCGTCAAGCTTCAATACCTCAACATATCAAGCTCGAAGACCGCAACTAGCACCTCCCCAAAGTCTCAAACCCTTGCTCGGGTCGTATCGTTCAAAGCTTTTGGGCCTCCCTCCACTGTCCGGTATACAATCATCAATTTTTTGGGTGGCATCAATGTCTTGCAGGCTGGGCAATCACTGTTTGAATCGCCCGTGGTCCGAGCGGCCACCCCGCAGCAAACACCGACAATCATGTTGGTCAGACGCCGTGTCGGTGTCAAGTGCTATCCTCTCAGCGCACCATCCCACTGCTGTCATGTCAATGACCTAATGTATGTTTGCACGCACGCGAGTTCTAGACTTCCCACAGTGGATGAGAAAGAGCTGGGTGGGAGGGGAAGAAAAAAAAAGAGGGACAAATACACTTACAAATACACATGCACACATGAAGATTTGAACCTCCCACTCTTTCTTCTCAAACGTATAAGCACTGTCCATTATTGAGTGAAAGCGATCCAACCAACTGATCTATGCAGGCATGATTGATGCATGATCCTTCAGGCCTCAGAATTCCACACTAAGGCAAGAGTGGACTCAGGTCTTTCTAACAAAATGTGTTTGAAAAGTCCAGTGATGGGAGAAACTCTCAAACTTTCGGACCGCTGGTGTTGTTGCCAGAGTGAGTTGAATTAAGTGTAGGACAACGATGAATGAGAGGGGATCGGGAAGAGTGGCCCTGGAGCACGATTAGGAGGGATAAAAAAAAGCAACAACAACAATAACAAATAACAAAGCAAAAAATGCACTTGAACATATTTATGCCTCCAGGAGGATTCAAGTCTCCTTCATGATTCCAGCACATTGAGTGAAAGCGATCTAACCACTGATCTTTGCAGGCTCAATGGCTCGAAGTTTGGAATCCTACCACCTAAGGGTACAGTAAGAGTAGAATCAGGTCTTTTAAACGAAACGAAAATATTCGATACAGAAGCTCTCGGACTTTCTAACTGCTGCTGTTGTTGGCAGATTGAGTAGAGTGTAAGACAGAGATTGATAAGAGCGAAAACGACACTGGAGCGCGGTTGGGAGGGGAAGAAAAGTCAAAAAAGAGCAAAAAAACAAAATGCACAAGAACTGTTGATGCCCGCAGGGGGATTCCAATGTCCGTCGTCTCGTATCCAGAAATACATTTGACTTAACTGGGAGAGATGATCTACTGTTGATCTATGCAGGTGTTGTCAATTGCAGGTCAGAATCACTGTGAAAGGGCTTAACAGAAGACTTGTTTTTCAAAGAGATTGAAAGGAGTTAACAAGATGCATGAAATAGTGATGTGTGAAACACCCTATTGACTGAGAGCAGGATGAGCCAGAGCGAAACACCGCGAGTTGAAATAATAGCGCACTGAGACGATAATAGGACAGGATAAATTTATACAGAAAAGAAATCAACATAACATACTAGTGAGAACCTCGAGAGCCATTGTCTCAAAAGAGTCCTGGAGACCGGCATCAGAGTTAGACTCGGAAAGGCATAGATGAAGGATTGAATCAACGCACCCGGTGAGCTTCACAAGGGCAATAAGAAGTTGTCGCCGCGTTCAATGCACGTACATGTAGGAGGGCGAGAGGCGAAGGAGATGGTGGAGGGAGGCAAGAGAGGTGGAGTCACGGCAATCGACTGCGCCGGTTAATATAGGTCCGGTTACGACACTGGCTCCACGCTCCACCAGCACTCGAACGCCTTCCCGCCGGGTTCACGCCTCCTTACTGCACACTACATGTATCCAACACTAGTATTGCGGGCTCGATCGACTGAACTAGGATCTCGGGCGCGATGGGCAGCCCCAAGGGCACGTCCATGTTGTTCAAGTTGTCCGTGTCTGTGTCCACGTCATTTTCACCGATCCTGCGCGTCGCGTGGACGTTGTCGGCGACTTTGTAGGTGGGCATCTGCTTCCGAGTGCGGGAATGGGTGGATGGGTCAGAAGATGAGTCAAGTACAACAAGGTGTGTGTCGAAAATGTTGCTCAAGAAACCACCATCGCCTGACCTGCCCCATTATCGCATCGACTCTGTCCACATTCAACCACGGGCACGACAACCGCCCTCTCTCCCCAGCAACGCATACCGCACCCACCGGTGCCCCAACGCCCACCGATCCTGCACGTCCCGGCGACTCGAGTGAATCCGTCTCACGCAGCAATGTCGGACGCCCGCGCGTTTACCTGAAGCTAAGATTTGTCGGTGTTCCAAGGGGCAGAAGAGTACACCTGCAATCACACAGACGACTGTAGTCCTTAGACCCAATACATTTGCTCTTTGCTCATTCCGAACCTTATTCCGCATTTTGTGGCGCATTACTCTGCAGATCTTCTCCGCCATTGAGAGGGACGGTATGTTACATTATTGGCCCCATTTACCCTCGTCTTCACTCTAAGATATCATCTGTATGATGTATGCCTTAAGACGGCATGGAACAGCCTAGAACTCACATTGCAGCTTCAAACGGCTTGGAACTGATTCAAAGCTCCCCCGCCACGTCTTTGAAGCACTCCCAAGCCGTTCAATGGCCCCATGCTGTCTAATGCCGTTGCAAGCAAAATGGGTTTTTTTCCGACAGAATTTCATGATGGTTTGGCTGCACAGTGTCTCATATACAAAACTGCATCTCGCTGAACTGGGAGAGATGATCTACCGTTGACTATGCAGGCGTCCAGAGGGAATTGAAAGGAGTTAACAAGATGCATAAGAGAAAAGGGGAGAAGTGGACACTGGACCGCAGCCGGGAGGGGACAAAAGAAAGCCACAGGTTCTGCTCAGTTTATGCCCAAAGGAGGAGCTGAGCGCTGAACTTCCATTTCTTTCTCTCAAATTCTTCACTCCTTTTTCATTGAGTGTATACCGCCTTATAGCCACTTACAGGAGATCTAAAAAAATTCCGACAAATTCGGTCAACCCATGCCCACAGGAGGATTCGAACCTCCGTCCTCTCATATCCAGAGAAACATAAGCAACATAACTCATAACTAGGAGAGATGATCTACCGTTGATCTATACGGGCATTCAGATTGAAAGGAGTTCACAAGATGGATGAGAGAAAAGGGGAGAAGTGGACACTGGACCGCGGTTGGAAGGGGACAAAAGAAAGCCCACAAGTTCCGCCCAGTTTATGCCCAAAGAAGGAGCTGAACTTCCGCCTCTTTCTCGTCAAACTCTTCACTCTTTTTTCATTGAGTGAATACCCCCTTATAGTTATAGCCGCTTACAGGAGATCCCAAAAAAATCCAGCAACCATCCATGCCCACAGGAGGATTCGAACCTCCGTCCTCTCGTGTCCAAGTGAAACATAAGCGACATAACTCATAACTGGGAGAGATGATCTACCATTGATCTATGCAGGCGTGGTCAATTGAGGGGTGAAAGGGCTCAACAAAAGACTTGTTTTCAAAGAGATTGAAAGGAGTTAACAAGATGGATGAGAGAAAAGGGGAGAAGTGGAGACTGGGCCGCAGCTGGGTGGTGGGAAAAGCCTTCAAAGAAAGAAAGAAAAAACACAAGTACTGTCCGAACCATGCTAGACTCGATACCAGGCAATTTTGTCGCCGGGAGAAATTTGATGACAGATGGGCTTCGCCCATCACCCGTTGATCGACTGTCATCAACTTTGAGTGCTTGGGCGAATTCTGACTGCGCTCGAGTCTACCGTTGTCTCGTGTCCAATTGTTGTGGCGTAACCGGGAGAGATGATCTCCGTTGATCTATGTGGGCATTGTCAATTGAGGTCAGAATCACTGTGAGAGGGCTCAACAAAAGACTTATTTTCAAAGAGATTGAAAGGAATTCACAAGATGAGTGAAAGAAAAGGGGAGAAGTGGAGACTGGACAGCGGTTGGGAGGGGGAAAAAGCAACAACAACAAAAAATTCTCTCAAACATATTTATGCCCACAGGAGGATTCGCACCTCCGTCTCTTTCATATCTTATGGTTCCGCTGTATTGAGTGGAAAGCGACCTAACCACTGATCTATGCAGGCTTCATGGCTTGAAGTTCAGAATCCTACTAAGGGTAAGAGGAGAGTTGGGTCTTTTTAACAAAATGAGAATATAATATTTTACAGAAGCTCTCAGACTTTCTAACTGCTTGCTGTTGTTGGCAGATTGAGTAGAGTGTAGGACAGATTGATGAGAGCGAAAACGGGGGAGTCGACACTTGAGTGTGGTTGCACACCCAATAAGGCAAAATCTCCCTATATGGGAAAAGTGTATCCAAATGTATATAATTCAGAACAACAAAAAAATAAATGAATTTGAAGTCTTTTGGCTGTGACGGAAAGAGCAACTGAGGTACTGTAAATCCAAGGCACTTTTCAATGGTTGTGAGTTTGTTGTAAATCTGCACGAGCTGAAATGGTGCGTGAAATAATCACTTTCAGTTGTGCTTTCACCTGCATTGTCTTTCTTTTCTTTCAGCGGAAGTCAGCTGAAAGAAAGGAAACAAACAACAGACTTCCTTTCTTTTCAGCTGACTTCCGGTGAAACAAAAGAAATCCAATGCAGGTGAAAGCATCACTGAAAAAGATTCTTTCAGCCACCCTTTCAGCTCAGGTTGATTTACAACAAATTCAAGAGCCACTGAAAGTGCTTCTGATTTACAGTACTTCAGTTGGCTCTTTCTGCTTTAGCTAAAAGACTTTGATTTCTTTTTGTAATTTTTGCTACTGATTTATTGAGATTTGGATACCTTTTTCCCATATGGGGAGATTTTGCCTTCTTGGGTGTGTTGGGAGGGGAAGAAAAGTCCAAATAAATAAATAAAAATACGCCGACGGTTCATGCCCGCAGGAGGATTCGAACCTCCATCCTCTCGTGTCCAGACTTCGGTATATCAACTGGGAGAGATGATCTACCGTTGATCTATGCGGGCGCGCTGAAAGAGGTTGAAGGAGGTGATAAGATGGATGAGAGAGACACTGGACCGCGGTTGGAAGGAGACAAAAGAAAGCCGCCCAGTTTATGCCCACTGAACTTGCGTCTCTTTCTCGTCAAATTCTTCACTCCTTTTTCATTGAGTGAATACCGCCTTATAGCCGCTTACGGGAGATCCAAAAAAAAGTTACCTCAATCAATCCATGCCCACAGGAGGATTCGAACCTCCGTCCTTTCGTGTCCAGAGAAACATAAGCAACATAACTCATAACTGGGAGAGATGATCTACCGTTGATCTATGCAGGCATTGTCAATTAGGGGTCAGAATCACTGTGAAAGGGCTCAACAAAAGACTTATTTTCAAAAGAGATTGAAAGGAGTTGACAAGATGAATGAGAGAAAAGGGGAGGAGTGGACACTGGACCGCGGTTGGGTGGTGGGAAAAGCTTTCAAAGAAAGAAAAGCATCAGAAGTCTGATATCTGTACATGCCCACAGGAGGATTCGAACCTCCGTCTCTTCATATATTTTCCGATTTCAGGCCATTGAGTGAAAGCGATCTAACCACTGATCTATGCAGGCTTAATGGCTCGAAGTTCGGAATCCTACTAAGGGTAAGAGTAGAATCGGGTCTTTTTAACAAAACAAAATGAGAATATTCGATACATCATACAGAAGCTCTGGGACTTTCCGACTGCTGCTGTTGTTGGCAGAGGACAGAGATTGATGGGGCGAAAACGGGGGAGTAGACACTGGAGCGCGCTTGGGAGGGGAAGAAAAGTCCCCCCCAAAAAAAAAAAAAAACGTACAGGAATTGTTGAAGCCCGCAGGGGGATTCGAACCTCCGTCCTCTCGTATCCAGCAAAATATGTAGAGAACTGGGAGAGATGATCTACCGTTGATCCGTGCGGGCGTTCTCAATTGAGGGGTGAAAGGGCTCAACAACAAGATTTATTTCAAAAGAGATTGAGAGGAGTTGAATGAGAGAAAAGGGGAGAAGTGGACACTGGATCGCGGGGGAAAAGGCCACAAGTGCCCAACCCCAAAAAAAACTATTGGAAGAGGGAGGAGTGTTCAAAAGTCTCTTTCGGGTCAAATTCTTCACTCCTTTTTCATTGAGTGAAAGCGATCTAATGAGATGGGATTCGACGGCTATACTACGGAGGAACCTTCCTGAGGAACTTGCCTTGGAGACTGGCGAGCCACTTTTGAACGCCGAGTGTATGAAGGCAGCGACTGCTTATCACATTGGGTAATAACAACAGCCGTCGCGCAACAACGACACCCGCAGATAGCACCCTCGCCAAAAACAGGGGGGTTGGGGTGCGGACTGCGCATGTAGGTGTACGTGGCGGGATAGAACATCGGGGAACAAATCGCGGATAGGCCGAGTTGAGTCAGCTTGGTGCCGTCGCTTGCGCGGCGAGTTGCCACAATTTGTCAGCATCCGCATTGGGCGCAGACACAACAGCAAATAATTTCTTGTCTTTCTTTCTTACACCCGACCACAACAAAGGCTGTTACAAGCCCTACAAGTTACTTCCAAGTATATTCAAAGTCTAGAGGACACAGGATGCAGGTGGACAGCCCAATGAGCCAGCAGCCGCTGTTTGCGTCGGGGCCAGGGTCGGGCTACACCGACTACCAGGACCTCGACAACATCTTCCACACCGAGCTCTTCTCCCTCCCCTCCTCCGGCGCCTCCTCCTCCTCCTCCCCCTCCTCCCACGACCTGCACTCCCAGTCCTCCGGCAGCCGCGAGAGCACGCCCCACCTCCTCACGCCCCCCCAGGCCGCCCCCATCCACGCCTTCCCCGACATCCGCGACGGCAGCCCCACCCCGTCCTTCTTCAACTTCCTCGACGAGGACGCCAAGACCCTCGACCCCCTCGCCATGCTCTCCAGCGCCCCGTACGACTTTTTCGGCACCTCCTTTGGTGGTGGGGCCTTTAGCTCAAATAACCCCCTCTCGAGCATGGATCTGGGGAGCGACAGCGAGATGAGCGCGATGCTGGGCATCGACCCGCAGCTCGTCGGCTCGCCTGCGCCGCAGACCTACGCCGAGTTCGACTCGTCCTCCTCCCCCTCCTCGTCTTCGCAGTCAAACTCCACCTCGCCCAATTCCAATTCCCATTCGGATGCGACGACCTCGCCGTCGGCGGGCGCCACCTCGCCCGAAGAGAGCAGTGGCACCGCCTCGTCGGCCATTGCGCCCGTCAAGGTCGGCGGGCACGGCAAGGCGCGCAAGGGGACCGTCGTCTCCGGGGGCATCAAGAAGGCGTCGGCGTCCTCCGCCGCGTCGACCTCGGCGGCGAAGGAGAACACCGCCACGGCGGCGTCGACGATGTTCATGCCCTCCACCACGTTCAAGCCGCGAGGTAACAGTGGTAAAGGCGGCGGTGACGACGAGGACGACGACGACGACCTGCCGGCGGACTGGCGTCCCCCGCCGGAGGTGTTCCAGAAGATGAGCAGCAAAGAGAAGCGGCAGTTGCGGAATAAGATTAGTGCCCGGAATTTCAGGGTGCGACGAAAGGGTTAGTGCGACTGTTATTTTCCCTTTCCCTGATCTCGTACCGTACTCACCCCGCGCCACCAGAATACATATCCACCCTCGAAGACAACATCGCCGAGCGCGACCGCCTCCTCTCCGCCATCCGCTCCGAGCTCGGCAGCACGCAGTCCGAGAACCTCGCGCTGCGCCAAGAGATCGCCGCGCTCAAGCGCACGCTGCTCGAGGGCCGCGGCCCCGCGCCCGTCCTCCCGCCGCCCGCGCCCCTGTCGCCGTCTTTGGGCTCTATCACTCCCTCGCTCACGACTTCCCTCACTTCGACCGCGGGACCGAGCGCAGCAAGCGGCGCACCGAAGGACCTCCCCGCAGCACACACCCTCAAAGACGTCGGCGCCTCCTCCTCCGCCGCGGCGGCCACGTCGCGCTTCTGGCAGGGCCACGGCCTGGGCATGGGCGGCTACACCAGCGTGCACACCGCGCGCATACCCGAGCTGCTCGGCGCGAGCCCGTTCGCGGCGAGCCCGTTCGCCCAGGGCGAGGTGGGCCGGCCCGCGAAGCGGGAACAGGAGAACCTGAACCCGCTGCTGAACGTCGCGCCGGCGGGGAAGGTGACCGAGGTCGTGCGCGCGGGGCTCGGGCTCGGGGCGGGCACGGGCGCGCCCAACGGAAGCGAGGCGTTTGGGGACGCGAATCCGTTTACGGTGCGAAGTTTGGATGCGTGAGTCGCGTTTTCTTCCCCCTGCCCGATATATTATATGTTATATATGTGAAGTGCGATGCTAACGCGCCTTTTGCGTTTGTAGGTACCGGATGCACCTCTGGGGCCGCATGGCCGCGCAGTACCGGCACAACAAGGAGCACACCGCCTCCTCCTCTTCCTCCTCCTCCTCCTCCGCGGCGGGCGGGAACAACGCCAACCCCTTCGCCAGCGCGCACCAGAGCGGTGGGAGCGCGTCGCCGTTCAGCAACGGCTCGCCGCACGCGCACGCGCACGCGCAGGCGAGCAGCGCGTTCGCGCCCTCGCCGTTCTTCAACCCCAACGCCGGCGCCAGCTCCGCCTATACCAATGCAAGCGGGAGTGCAAGTGGGAGCGGGGGATACACGCCGCTGTCGGGGCTGGCGGGGGGCCTGCGGCCGAAGTACTTTGCGAGTCCGGCGTTTTATGCGGGGCATGTGGGGGCTTCTTCCGCGTCTGCGTCCTCCTCCTCCGTATCGTCGTCTTCGTATGGCGGCGGGAATGGGAACGGGAACGGGGGCGACAAGGCGACGCCGTCGTCGCTCGCGGCGAGCCTCGCGGGGCTGTCGCTCGCGGGGATCACGGGCAAGGGCGCCGTGGGCGCGGGCGCGGGGGCGGTGCAGCGGCAGCAGCAGCGCGACACCCAGCAGCAGCGCGAGAAGGAACGGGAGCGCGAGAGGGAGCGGGAGACGGCGATGTACGCGGCGCTGGCGAGCCAGACGCTGCTGCGCCGGCTTGGCGGCGCGTTTTGGGAGGCGTTTTCGGGGGCGGAGAGCAAGCCGCTCAACGCAGGGGCAGGTGGAATTGGTGGGGCAAGTGGAAGCGGGGCACAGCAGAGGGGGTGGGACGCGGAGAAGGTGCGGAAGGTGCTGGAGGGCAAGGCGGTTGTGCGGGTGGTGGATGTGGAGCCGCCGGCGACGCGGAGTGCGCCGGCGAGTCCGCGGGTGGGGGCGAGTGTGCCTGCGATGCAACAGGTCCCGACGACGACGGCGCAAGGGGGGCAGGAGAAGAAGTGCGGCGGGAGCGAGTGCGCGAAGGTGCTGGGGCAGGCGCTGGAGGAGAGTATGCGGAGTTTGAGTTTGGGGAAGAAGTGAGGCGGGCGTGCGATTGCGCTTGCCTGCTTTTTCTTTCTGCTTTGCTCTCGATTCACCTCTCCGAACGACGCTCGACCTCTTTCCCTCGCCACTGGACCCGCCACTGCCCTCGACTCCGACCGCTCGATATTTGTTTTCATCCATCTCATTCCGATACGATACGCGTTGTTATATGCGACGACGACGACCACTCTCCTTTCCATCATATCTGTTTCTCTCTCTCGACTCCGACTCCGGCTCTGGCTCCTCGACTCCGGCTCTCGACTCTGTTATCGATTTAAATGTTTTTCGTATCCCCGATTTAATATAATCCAACTCGCTCGATCCTACCACCAGGAGGAAGAGGAAGATGAAGATGGAGAATGTACCAAATGACGACGAGGCGGCGGCGGCGGCGGCGATGCCCTCGTTCTCTCGTCTGCCTGCACCAGCGCAATTCCGACACGGCGGCGACTCGATATCCCCGACTCGGCCGACGCGGTGCTGCGGCCGCGTCACCCCTCGGCGTGTCATCGTGCTTACGTCCGCGTTGTGGAGGGCGTCAGCGGGATTTGGTGGTGCGATGCCGTTTAGCCGTGGCCGACCACGACCACGCCTTTCGGGACCACGCCTTTCCGCGCATATCTGCAGTTACATGTAATCACACCACCAGACTCCAACCTCAACCCCAACCCCAACCCCAACTCCATCTCGTTTCGTTTTTCGTTTTTCGTTTACCGACTGATGCGAACCCGACTGAAATGTACATATACACAGTAGAAAGAACTTGAAAGCGCCGAGTACTTGTAGTTTTTTTTGGATAATTGATATCGATGTCGAGGCTTTGCTTACTTGCAGTCGACTCGGATGTGTGGGTGGGTGATCGGTGGGTGGGTGGAGTTGGGCTGCGTGCTTGAGTCGAGGTAGTCTGACTGCGCGTTTCTAGCACCATTAAAGTACGGGGATCTGGTACAATTGTACATGTGAAGTGTGCGGAGGTCGTGCTGGCCGCGGGGACAGGGATACCCGACGTACCCGGAGTCTGGGCCCGAGGCACGTTGAAACGGGTTGCGTTGCGCAAGGCCGCACTAAGGCGTTGTCACTTGCAGGTAGCATGTAATCCAACGAGCATACATGGAGTTGGGCACAAGGCATCATGTCCTCGTGGGTTAACGGTACAACTTGCGAGGTACGAGCAAAATGTTGTAGCGTCTGTCTACGAGAGACTAGGTTAACGGATACCATCTCGATTCGATTTCAA